AGGAGGTGACTTTTAGGCTAAGACCTAAAGGGAGGTCTTAGGAGGAGGAGAAGTTGGTCACTGAAGGCTGGGGGGAGTTGGGGATCATTCCAGGCACAGGGAGCAGCTGCTGCAGAAGCCTTGAGGTGGGAAAGAGGAGGCAGGTGTAGGGTGAGGAAGGAGGGGGATGGGAGGATGGGGCAGAGTTAGCAAGGCAGGCAGAGGCCGGAGCCCGCTGGCTCCTCCAGGTCATGTTGGAGAATCTGCAGTTTTTCCTAAAGGCAGTGAGAGCCAGTGACACTTTCAGTGGCTTAGCACATGGTCAGGTGTGCCCTTTAGAAGCTCACTCTGGTGGCTTGCTGTGTGGCAGGGGACTGGCGTGGGGCGAGATGGGACCCTGTGAGCGAGTTCAGCACATCAACCCTGACACTGTGAGCTCCTGAACCAAGGCAGGGGCAGGGAGAGAGTCCGGACTCCTTAGGATGGAGAATTCCTCGCACTTGGTGTTTACTGTGGGAGTGAGTCTAGGGAGAGTGCCCTACTCCACCGTGAGCCCTTTGAAGACAAGGATTAAGTTTGATTTTTCTCTGTGTCCACAAGACCCAGCATGGGCTTCACACCGAGAGCCAAAATGTTTACGGCACGCACAAATGGCAGTGAGATTTTAGTGTAGGCTTGTGTGTGTACAGTCTGCTTCCGACCTTCATCCCACTGTCGCCAAGCAGAGGGGCAGGGACCTGGTACTTCCTTGTCCCAATTAAGGTGTCATTACTGAGCTGCTTCAACCTCATTTCAGTGCTAGACATATCTGGGGGCTGGGGTGGGGAGATGGGCACCCCACACACTTACCCCTGGGGTCCCACACCTGCCGGGCTGGGCCTGGTCTGGAACCGTGGGGCAGCCCTGCTGGCCCTTCCATAGGTGCAAGGATCGTGGGCTGAGTTGCTGGTACCACGTGTATGCATGACGTCCCTGTGTCCCTGTGTCTGGGGCGGGGGTTGCTTTTCGAGTACACTTACTCCCCTACATTCACGTTTGTGTTTTTCTGATTGGCCCAGAGGGCTGAACGTGCTACAGCAACAGGCAGGCAGGCTTTGTGGTGAAGACGGCGCAGCTGCACAGAAAGCCAGAGAGCCTTTCAGTGGCTGCCTTGCTGGGTGGCGCTGGTGAGATTGTTTCCTCATCTGTAAACCGGGCACACTCATGGCTTTAGGGCTGTTGTGAACAGGTATCCACCAGGCCAACCAGAAATGTGTCCTGTGAATGAGGACCAGGAGAGGGACTTCCTCTTGTCTCCAGGGAAAGCCACCCACTGGGTGGATAACAGGTGCTAATGGGCACCGCCAGCTTCCGGAACCTCTGCCCACATCACTGCTGAGGTTCCGGCTGAAGGGATCTGTGTCCCTTCTGTTTTACAGGAATCAGGAAGAGTCTGGGCGGGGTGGGGGGGGGCGGTAAGGGGAGTGCTGGGGTTGGTTTGGTCAAGTCCACCACTGAGAAGCTGGGTCTGGAAGCTCTGTTTCGGGGGGCTGGGAGTGAGGGTGGGAAAAGCCAGTGTGGGGTGACTCCATGCCTGAGCAGGGCAAGAACCCCAAGGGTCAATCTCTGAACCCAAATTCGAAGTCCAGGGCCTCTGGGCCTTCAGTGTGTGTAGGGTCAGAGGTGAGGAGGTCAGGGCTGAGCAAGCAGGGCTCAGGCCAGCGTGTAGAGGGGTGCTTGCAACTGTCAGTCAGCACAGGAGCGCGGCTGTGCCCCTCCGATCTCAGGAGGCCTCGGGATTCCAGGCCAGAGCTACCACAGACGCCGTCAGAGCAGTGTAGAAGCAGCCAGAGGATAGCACATCACGTTAGGATGGGCCTGGGCTCCCAGAGCACCCTGAGAGCCCTTCCTATTACAGCATCTTCACAGTGTAAGGTGACCATCCTATCCTACTAGAGCCTCTTCACGGTGTAAGGTACCATCTTTATCTGTGTTCATCTTCCCTGGGGGCCGGGGACTGTGACATCCAGCTTCCTGGGCCTATGACCCCACGCTGGGCCTGGACTGGTACACAGTCAGTCCTCAGGACATGAAATGTGGAATTGACAAGCGACACCAGTAAGTTCAGCTCAATTAGTCTCCTGAGCACATACTGTGTGCTTTGTCCCTGACTCATCCCTGTCATTCGGGTGGTTCCCAGCCAAAACCTGGTTTCTATTTCTTGAGAAACCATCTCTGGCCCCTCCAGATGGAAGCTGCCTGCTCAGGCCTGGATAAAAATGACATCCTGCTAAAACCAAATCTTCACTAGATGTTGGCCAGTCCAAACTGATAGCCTCTTTGAGGCCTCCTAACATGGGTTCTCTGCCACATGCCCAGCAGGTTTTGAATCAAGGTTTCCTGTGGTTTACAAGGCAAACCCAGTCACAGAATGGCTTGGAGCTGGGCCTCTCATGAGGGTGCTCTGTGGGTGCTACGGGGGCTCCCCCTCAAGGAGAAACATGGAGCAGCTGCAGAGGCCGTCAGTTTTACTCAAAGGTTTAGAAAAGAAAAAGATAGAAGTTTTTATAGACACGTGCAGACCAAAGGAACAGGATCTACTTTTCCATACGAGCCAAACTCTCGGTCTGGAGTCAAATGGAACATCTCTATAAGTGTACGGAACAAAGCACACATCTTTAACAGAAATTTGCACCTGAGCTGGGCAGCACCAGACCATCCCCTATTATTCCCAACCCTCTTCTGTTCTCTTGTGCCAGGAGGGCTACTCTTGGGACCACATTTGAGGATCTCTGACTGTTGGTGTTCTGGGGAAACGGCTCAGACCACACGTGCACATGGTCAAGTGGTTTTGCACTCCTATCCCTCCCATAATCCACTGCTAGCAAGATTCAACACCCAAGCCAAGAGGTGAATGATCTGGAATCAACGTTAAGATCTCATTTTCAGGAATTCTTAGACATTGGGTGAATTCTAGGTCTGACTCTGCCACTGAATCAGAAACAGGTAGGTAATTTCTTCCCAATCCGCTCTTCAGTTTCCCTATCTGTAAAATGGGAGTGGGCTGTACAATCTCTCTGAGGTTCCTTTCAGCGTCAACATTTTATGTCAGACCTCTATTCCTTGTCCAGGTGGGTATAATTCAGATTCAATTAACATTTATCATGTCAAACTAAAATGGACTGTGAGCACACTTCCATACATATTATTTGTGTTCTCAAAACCCCAGAAATATAGGTGTTATTACCTCCATTTCGTTTACAAAACAGCGGCTCAGAGAAGTTTAGTGTGTTAACTGAGGTCACACAGACAGGAAGTTGCAGAGCTGTGATTCAGTCTCAGGCCTGTTTCTGGCTTTGCGTCCAAGGGGCTGAGAGCACACACTGTGTGCCCAACAACTCAGCTTCCTTCAGCCCTCTCTCCCCGCCTGCCCGGGAGCTCAGCTCTGTGCTCTGGGGTAGGGGGCCGAGGATGGGCGCCAGTTGGGGCTATAGGCCACTGGTAGTACAGGTGGACTTTGGCCAACAGGTGTTGATAATGTTCTGGAAGGCTGGCAAAGGGCAGGTTATCAAGGGCTGAGAGGGCATCTCTGGCCTAGCCTGGGTCTGGGTCTCCCAGGTGTCTTCCAGGCCCCATTTGTGCCTTTAACTTAAGAAGCTGCCTACTCTTTGCTTTGCTTTGCCATCTGGGAGCCCCTACCTGCCACATGGCTTGCCATCCCCAGAGACCCACCCTCACATATTCCTGTCCACCTTTCTCAGCCTTCGAAATCATCTCACAGTACCTCTGGGCTGAGGGCAGGGAAGGAAGAGATGTGCTGCGGGGATTGAGCTCAGATCTGTCTCGACCATTAGGAGGGCGACTTCAAGGATGCTTTTATTTCAGCCAATTCAATCACCACCAGTCTGCCTGCAGTAATGGCTTTTGAGCCCCCGGTTATCTTCTCAGAACCTTAAGGTGGCCTCAACTCCTGGCATGACACTGGGCAAGTAAATTTCTCTCTTTTGGCCTCAGTGACCTCATGTAGGCAATAACCAGCTGGTTGGGTCCCCATGGATCGCAGGTCCTCCCAGCGGTGACATGTTAGCATCCACTATCTTTGACTTTACCTTCCCAGAGGAGGGGGACAGACTAGATGCCTTTGGAGAGCGCATCAAGCTTAAAAATTGCACTCCCGCTGTCTGGTGCTCTCGCTCGGCACCCGCAGGTGCTAATCCATCCCTCCACACCAAAGGCACACCCGCGCCCCGCCCAGGCCCCCCGGTAGATCCGAGCCTGGCCTTTTAGCCTCGCAACTCCGGAAACGCTAGAGCAGCGCTAGAGCCGCGACTGCGGCGGTGGCGGAGGCGCAGGGGGCGGAGGAGGAGAGATGCGCCCACTTGTCCCGCGGCCTCCGCAGCGGCCCTGGCGCCAGCCCCGGCGCATCAGAAAGGTCCCTGGAACCCTTCGGTTTGTCGCTTTCGCCCGGGGCCGGCTGGGAGTGCGCCACCGGTCGATGGCACCTAACCGACCCCTGCGGCCTCGCAGCCTCCCAACTTGGCAGAGAGCGCGCAGGCTCCTCTTCGCTCCCAGCCGCGGTGAGGTAGTGGCCGCGGGGCTCGCACGCCTCCGTCTCGCCCTTCCCGTGCCTAAGCGCGGGGAATTACACCTCCCCGGTCCGGGGCTCTCCCGGGTGGGAGTGGAGATGGGAGCACCATTTCTGGCTGGATGTGGGTCTACATTCATTGCTTACGTCTCCCGCGGGAGCCCATCTCTCTCCGCGCCTCATCCCCCTCCGCGTCTCCGCGTCTCGCCCGCTCTGCGCCCGCCTCCCACCGAGCTCGCCGGGTGAAGGGCAGCCGCAGCCCACACTCGCTCCCTGTCCGCAGTCCCTGCCCCCTCTGGCCACCGCGGGGTCACTGCCCGCTTAGGCCAACCCTCCCTTCTCGCCGAGGGCGCCGAGTAGAACGACTAAAGTTCGGGCGCCTTCGGCCGGCGGAAGGGCCTGCGCCCCGAGGGCCGCGGCCCGGGCGCTGGGAGGTCAGACGCGGCGCTGGCCTCACCTGTTTCTCCAGAGGCTCCTTGGCCGAGAGCGTAGGCTTGGGGGAGGGCGCGCGGTCGCAGACGCAGCCCTCCAGCAGGTAGAGCCCCGAGGGCCGCGAGCTCGAGTCGCTCTCGAAGTAGAAGAGCAGGTTCTGCAGCAGCGCGAACCACTTGGTTTGCCATTTTGTGTTGTCCGAACTCCGCTTGCTCAGGTAGCCCTTGCGCGTGCCGTCCTTGCGCGCCAGCAGTCCCAGGGACGCGACGTGGCCATCGTTCAGCCGGATCCCCTTCTGCATGGTGCTCGGAGGCCAGCTAGACTCCACGCGCTTACATTTTCTCCGCGCGGCACCCGGCAGCCCCTGTCCTTGCGGCGCGCTGCCTCTCTCAGGCGCTCGCTCGCTCCTTCTCGCTCTCCCCTCCCCCCAAATTTCTACAGTCCGGGATCTGGCGCCGAGCCGCGGCTGCTGGAATCCAGATGTACCATTCCCCTCCAGAACCTCTTCCCCGCTTCGCAGAGCCCCCGGGCCCTGGAGATGCTTCCCGACCCTCCCCTGGCGCCGGGCAAACTGAGGGACTGGCGAGCTGCGCGCTGGCGAGGGGCAGGCGGAGTCATGTGACGCCGATCCCTCGAAGAGCCCGCTTTAGCAGCGCGGACAGGGACACACGCACGCAGCCCGCCGAGGCGCAGAGCCGCGCGCAGGCTGCACCTTGGCGCCTCCTCCCCCTCCCCGGACACACAGACGCACACGCATAAACAAATCCTGTCCTCCCTCCCCTGATATCCTCTTCTCCCCTTCGGGTGTTAAAAAGCAAATCGGATCAATTTTCGTTTAACCCAGTGGAACACCAGAGGCTCGCCATCCCGGGAGTTTGCGTCTTTGCGCCCCGCCGCGGCGCACTGTAGACCTGGGGTTAAGTCCCATTTGTCATTTTCTCCTCCAAAGGCTTCCTCCTGGTACTTTATTTTTCTAATCCGTGGTGGATGGAGGAAGGTGGATGGCGAAACAGAGCTGAAAGAGCTTTCAGTTCTAATATTTGCGTAATCGGCCAGGTCACATTCATTTCAGCATCCAGCCCCACTTCTGGTGGCTTCCCCAGCGACCTAAGGACAATACAGACGGAGATGTGGAGGGGGAGGTGAGCGTTTATTTTATTTTATTTTGAGTGTTGCCATAATTACGGGCGCCACCCCCTGCGCCCTGAGGTCTGGCCGGCGAGCCGCTGCTGGGAGTTTTCTGCAAATACCCTCCAAAGCCTGAAGGCGGGCTTCAAACGCAGGCGCCAGGGACCATGGGAGCCTTCAAATAGCTGCGCTGGCGCAATGATACCTTAATGATAGATTTTCCGTTCTTATTTTTAGCTCCCGTTCGCCTACACAGTTACACGGCATTTATCCGAGAACGTCACAGCGCCCGCCTGCTGCACCGGGAGGGCGCGCGGGCCGCCGGGCAGCCGGGGCGCTGGAGCGGGGAGCGCGCACCGCCGTCTGCCGCAGAGGGCAGCGGCCTCGCCCGGGCCGGGAGCGGCGCCCAGCCCGGCCTGGCCTGTTTGCAGCGAGGATAGGCGGCCGCGTAGCCCTCAAGAGGAAGGAAGAAAGGACACCATTTTTCAGAACCTGCGGGGCCCCCTCCTCCCCCACGGGCAACATGCACACACCCTGGTCTGGAGCGAGGGAAGGGCCTGGGAATCAGGTAGCCCTGGGAAGGCCCAGGGAAGTCCACGGAGAGACACCCGGCTGTGGCTGAACTGGACCTGCCCCGGTCCTGGGCACGACGGTGCAAGCCTGCCTTTTTTAGGTGGGGACAGTACCGAGGGAGAGATTGACAGTGTTAACCTTACTCTTCCCTCTCGGTTCCCACGCTCCGGGCTTGGGAACTGTCTAAGGACGCGGTGAGGCCGATTTTTCTTCGCGAATAATGAAAGCAAAGAAGGGAGATGGCTAAGCTTCTTTATTTAGTCTCGATTTTCCCAAGAAGGTCCCTATACTGTGACCACCTTTACTTCTCTTTTGCCCTCTTTATGGAAGCAGAGTTTCCAGAAGTGAGGTTCCTAATCCAGGCTCTCTTCGTGTAAACTTTTCTATTAGGAAGCCTGATACAGAGGCCAAGGAAGCGTCAGGGAAGGGACACTGTTCTAAGTGCTTCAGATCCGCTAAGTTGTTTAATCCTCACACAATTCTATGGAGTAGTGTCCACCCCTCCCCCCCCGACCCCTCATCAGCTCCATTGTACAGAAACGGGAAACGGAGGTGTAGAGGGGTTGAGTGACTCGTGCAGAGTCACTCAGCTGGAAAGTGGCAGGGGCGGGATTTGAACTTGGTAGCCTGTCCCCACTGGAATTCATTCATTACTTCACTCATTCAGTTACATACACCTCATCCCACCAGTGTTCACTGAGCCCCTAGTCTGTGCCAGGGCTTAGGCTGGGCCACTGGGGACATGGTGATAAACAAAACACAGTCCCTGCTTTCTGGAGCTTAGACCAGCCCAAGGGTTCCTTCCGTATAGGGCCCTTGGCAGGAGGGAAACCATTTTCCCCTGGGTTTGGGGAAGAGGTGTAAATCAGGAAAAGAACTGAATCCACTTCTGTGGGCCTCAACCTTGGTGCACTTAGAGCCCCTGGAAAGGTTTGTTAAATATCTTTGTTCAGGCTGCACCCCAGATGGGTAAGTCAGAACCTCTGAGGGTGGGACATGGGCATCAGTACTCGGAAGGCTCCCCAGGTGACTCGAACGCACAGCCAAGGCTGAGAACCACGGATCTGAAGCTCGGATGAAGAAAATCCCCTCTCAACCTCCTCCCTCCGCACGGCTGGCACTGAGTCGGCCAAATGGCCCCCTCTTGCTGGTTTTGGACTTCCTGGTGGGAACTCCAGGAATTCCTGGTGGGTCGGGCCACGCTGGGTGGTTGGGCTTGGCTCAAAGTATCCAGGTCAGAGAGAGGAGGGGACAGCAGCCCTGGCACTTTGATTATGTCCATCTGAGCTCCATTCATATTGCTTTCTCTCCAATCTCTGTCAGCAGAAACCTGAGCAGAGCCTGTGAATGGGCCCTCTGGTCATTCCCCTGGTCTCCAGCCAGAGGGCCCTTGGAAGGCCCTCAGGGGAGTTGGTTAAGGAGACGTCATTTACCAGGCTGGCTCCAGCTTGTGTTGGGGTGGGGGTGCCAGGAAGCAGGTAGGCATGTCTTGCCATAGCGGGCAGAGGTGGGCACGTCTAGCTATCATGTGTGTTGTCTACCAGGCCAGAGACCAGCTCTTCCCCGAAGGTGGAGAAGAGGTCCATGTGAGCATCACAAAATGCATCCGGGCTTTGCCTTGTTTCACTGCATCCTCCCAATAAGGCTTTTGGACAAGGGTTAATAACCCCATTTCACAGATGGAGAAACTGAGGCTGGAGAGTGGAAGCCATCTGGTCCTGGACAACACATGAAAAGATGCTTAACATCACTAATTATTAAAGACATGCAAATCAAAACTACAATGAGGTATCACCTCATACCAGTCAGAATGGCCATCATCAAAAAAATCTACAAACAATAAATACTAGAGAGGGTGTGGAGAAAAGGGAACCCTCTTGCACTGTTGGTGGGAACGTAAATTGATACAGCCACTATGGAGAACAGTATGGAGGTTCCTTAGAAAACTAAAAATAGAGCTACCATATGACCCAGCAATCCCATTGCTGGGCATATACCCAGAGAAAACCATAATTCAAAAAGACACATGTGGGGCTTCCTTGGTGGCGCAGTGGTTAAGAATCCACCTGCCAATGCAGGGGACACGGGTTCAAGCTCTGGTCCGGGAAGATCCCACATGCTGCGGAGCAACTAAGCCCATGTGCCACAGATACTGAGCCTGTGAGCCACAACTACTGAAGCCCGTGTGCCTAGAGCCTGTGCTCCGCAACAAGAGAAGCCACCACAATGAGAAGCCCGTGCACAGCAATGAAGAGTAGCCCCCACTCGCTGCAACCAGAAAAAAGCCCACACGCAGCAATGAAGACCCAATGCAGCCAAAAATAAAAATTTTTAAAAAGACACATGCACCCCAATGTTCATTGCAGCACTATTTACAATAGCCAGGACATGGAAGCAACCTAAATGTCCATCAACAGAGGAATGGATAAAGATGTGGTACCTATATACAATGGAATATTACTCAGCCGTAGAAAGGAACGAAATTGGGTCATTTGTAGAGACGTGGATGGACCTAGAGTCTGTCATACAGAGTGAAGTAAGTCAGAAAGAGAAAAACAAATACCGTATATTAACATATGTATGTGGAATCTAGAAAAATGGTACAGATGAACCTATTTGCAAAACAGATGTAGAGACACAGACGTAGAGAACAAACCTATGGTTACCAAGGGGGGAGGGGGGAGGGGGAGGAACTGAGAGATTGGGATTGACATATATACACTATTGATACTATGTGTAAAATAGATAACTAATGAGAACCTACTGAATAGTACAGCGAACTCTACTCAGTGCTCTGTGGCGACCTAAATGGGAAGGAAATCTAAAAAAGGGGATATATGTACATGTATAGCTGATTCACTTTGCTGTACAGCAGAAACTAACACAACATTGTAAAGAAACTATACTCCAATAAAAATTAATTTAAAAATGAAAAAAACTGATCATCATAAGGCCAAGTGCTACCTGTTACTGATAGGGTTAGCTTGTTTTTCCCCTGAATCATAGCTTTGTACACATCTATACATGTGGATGTAACATCATTTCCTGGATATTTCTCGAGACTTGTCTTATGGCCCAGTATGTAGTAAATATTTGTAAATGCTTAAAAAAAAAGAGTGGAAGCAACGTTCGCAGAGTCTTACAGGGAGGAGCTGTGATGGGGTGTCCTGACTGCTTGACCAGAGCTCATCCCAGAGGACTTTCCTCTCTGGGTCTCCCAACTTCCAGCTCTCTGGGCTGAGGTCTCTGCAGATAAGGAAACAAGAAGGAGGATTAAGGAGTATTTTGGTGGGTTTGATATCTGCATTTAGAAATGGACAGCTAATGACAAGGACATCACTTAGTCCAAATTCCTATTAAGTCTTTTTTCTTTTTTTAACTTTTATTGGAGTATAGTTGCTTTACAGTGTTGTGTTAGTTTCTGCCGCACTGCAAATTGAATCAGCTATGGATGAATTGGGAGATTGGGATCGACATATATACACTACTATGTATAAAATAGATAACTAATGAGAACCTACTGTGTAACCCAGGGAACTCTACTCAGTGCTCTGTGGTGACTTAAATGGTTAGGAAATCCTAAGAAGTCTTCATGGGGGGATTTCCGCCAGCCTTCAGACTAGAGGTCAGCTTGGGCATTTGTTGACATGGGTGTTGTGTGGGTCTGACCTGCCTTTAGGCCCTGGGAAGAGAGGATCTCCGGGCGGTGTGTGCGTGTGTGTCTGTTGTGTGTGTGGAAATATCTGAGTGGTGTGATGTGCACGTGAGAGGTGTATGTATGGTGTGTGTGTAACATTTAGAGGACCTTTGATTTTTTGACAACATACTCTGAAAGAAAAATGTAGCTTTCGCATCACTTAAAACAATGAAGCATTAAGTTTGTGGAGTCAGAGGACTTTTGGAAATGGAAGCTTTGTGGGTAGGGGCTCACTACTCCAACTTTGGGCTTAATTGGTTAGCTTTGCCCCAGGAT